GGCAGGAAAATGATCTGCTGTATTATATCTAATTATAAAACATCAATATCAGATGCTAAATGCACTTACTTTTTCAGAGACGCTGTGTTGCTAGTTTACAGTTTGCAGTCTCTTACTTTAGCAGTAAGTCAGGATATAGGAAAATGCCTTCACAGGGAGATGCCAGAGGTCAGATCCTTTTCAGCTTTTCAGGCTTCACCAAGTGTCTCCTCTTAAATACCCCTTAACAATAACCAAAAGTGTTCACATTTGGGGTCAGTTGTTTGGGGCTGGTTGTTTGTTTGCGGCTGGTTGTTTGGAGTCAATTAATTGGGGCTGATTGGGCTGTTTTTTTTGGGAATGATTAGGGTTGATTGTTTGGGCCTGGTTCTTCATTTGGGGCTGGTTGTTTGGGGTCCGTTGTTTGGGGTCAGTTGTTTGGTTTTTTGGGACTGGTCGTTTGAAGCTGGTTGGTTGTCTGAGGATGGTTGGTTGGTTGGATAGGGCTGGTTGGTTGGTTGGTTGGTTAAGGCTGTTTTTTTGATTGAGGCAGCTTGTTTGGGATTGATTGGTTGTTTGGGGCCAATGGTTTGGTGTTAGTTGTTTCTTTGGGGCTGATTGTTTGGGGTTGGTTGTTCAGGGATGGTTTACTTGGGGCTGATTGTTTGAGTTGGTTGTTTGGGACAAGTTGATTACTTGGGGCTGGTTTGTCGATGTGGTTTGTTTGGGGTTGGTTGGTTGGTTGGGGCTGGTTGTTTGCAGCACTTTTACTGGTGGTGGCTGTGAGGCTGTGTTTCGTGCTGCACCTGTTCCCTGCAGGAAGGAGTCTCAGCCCACTTACTTATTTCCCATGGGGCAATAAGCAGCTTGCTTACTGATAATGACTTCCAGCCATGGCTGAGCAGGACTTCATTTGACCCATTCCCTCCTTTAAAATTATCCACGTTTCAGAAGTGCAGCTTGAGTGTTCTCATGCAATTTACACATATTCTATATTACCCACAATATATCGTGGGCTGTAAGAATTAAGCGTTGGCGAGATTTTCAAGTGGGGAGCAGCAGTTTTATTACATATTGATTGCCTTGCACGGAGCAGGACTGAAGAGCAAAAGGAGAAGCAGCACCACCTGCCCTGCTTTTCCCATGGGAAGACTGTGTGTGCTTTTGTGAACAATTTGACATTCCTCTGGTCCTGAATGTGCCTGCAGCATGATGATTGGTCAGCAGACCTGTGTTCCTGGTGGCCACGTGTGTCCTGGTGATGTATTTTGGGAGGATTTGCTCAAACCCCAAACAAGAGATACACGTTGCAGCCTGGGAGAAAGGTCCACTTTGTTTCCTGGTTAATAAAGGGTGACATGCAAGCTTTATTAACAAGGCACGTAGGGAAAAAAAAAAGGCTCAAGGGACAACTCTGAAAAAGTGGTGCTAAATGTGTCATTTTTGTGAAGCCGATTTTCTGAAGGGTTCCTACGCGCTTTGGCAGGAGGTTGCAGCAGGTTGGCAATAATTTGTAGAAAGATGGAAATGTTTTCACCCCGAAGTGAGAAGCGGAGATGCAGTGGGTCAGGGCTGTGGGGGGACGGGTGCCCCTTCCTGCGGGTCAGGAAGGATTTGGGGTATCCATGCATTCCTAGTGCCTAGAGAGCGATGTGACAGCCTGGAGCTGGGTGCAGGGCACACAGCCGCCCCTTTAGAGATGCTCATTTGTATGTTTTCCGCATCGCGGCTAAAACCCAGGAACAACAGGCCCTGAATTATTGAGGTGCGGAGGGACAGCAGCGTAACGCAGCCCTGATTACCCCGTTGTAAAGCTTCTTCCTGCAGCCCCTTTGGGTCCCAATGCCAGGGTCTGGAAGAGTTGCGTTGAAGCTCTGCATCTTCTTTAACAAAAATGGGAGCCCTCAACAACAGCTGGAGGGGAAACAAATAAAAAAGAATTTTAAAATGTCCCTGCTGATTGCTTGATTCTCAGCGTGTCTGATGCCGTATTTATATTTGTGTTGCTAAGGCAGCGGTTAAAACCACTTTCCGAATTAGAGCCGGGTGCTCCCCACAGCTCCAAGCAAGCCTGCCCACTAAGGGCAAAGCAGTAACGTGGTCTGACACCAGAGAGCACAGGCACCATGTAGGTGCTGCTCAGTGCCCCCTCATACCTTGGTACATGGCGTATTCACACAGTGTGGGGTCCATCCTGACGAGCGCTGAGCATCCTTCACGCTGAGCTGAGCGGGAGGTGAGAGTGGGCAGCACTGGGGATGGCCCTTGACTTAGGCTGAGGACCCTCCCTTTCTCCTTTGATTTTTACTGATCTGATCATTAAGAGAGTGTCAGCTTGTTTGCTTTTACCAAAATAATGAAGAAAATGTGGGCTGGACTCTTGATGCTGTGAGTTATGAAGAGCATGCTGTTTCATCGGCACAACAAGCCTTACCTTGTCCCTCTTTTTTGTGCTTTGACTTTGTTCTTGGGGCCTCGTTAAGAGAGGGAGCGTATCCTTTTCCAATTAAAATGTTGACATGTTGTAGACGTTCTCCTTCCCAGTCGTTTTGCCTCTGTTTGTAAGTGATTGCACTTTGCAGGATGAACTAGATTTAAATGAAGTGAGCTTCGATTGAATAATGCAAATTATAAAGCAGACCTCTTCCATGAAAAATCTCATTGCCGTTTTATTCTCCCGGTTTGATCCCATAGCCTGCATGGAGATCACTTTGACAGATAATCCCATAAGTACCCAGCTACCTCAGAAACCACCTGGAGCACACCTGGCTGCAGTCCTTGTTGCCTTATTGCTCCTTGTCCTGCCGGGGATCTGGAAGGGATTTGCATGAGTAGTGCTTCTTTTAGAGATGTGCTGGATTTAAAGCCTGGGGACAGCTCCAGAGTACGATGAAAGCTCCCCTAGGAAGTGGAGGGGGTACATGGCATCTCTGGCATTGCATCTTCATGACTGCGGTGGTGCAGAGCATCTTGAGCAGTGGGTGATGCAGAGAATCTGCATAGGAAAGGTGTTACTTTAGCCAACCAAACTAATTCTTACGGACCTGTTCATCAGGCAGTGGTTTTGCTTGGTTTAGGGGTTTGGCTTTTTTTGTTGTCAGGTATCAACGACAAAGCTCCCAGGGCTGTTGGTCAGATCTGCTGTGAGGGCTGGAGTTGGGCTGGGGTAGAAGCTTGTTAGAAGCGCCTGTTAGAACCACATGGAGGTGTTTCGGTGGGTTTTGGTGGGGTTTTGGTGATGTTTGGGTGGTGTTTTGGTGGTACCAAGTTGAGCATTACCCTCAAGTGGCCTTGGATGCTCCATTGGAATCCAGAGCTTGGTCCATGTGCCGCGAGTGCATTAAAGCTCTTGCAACATGTGGGCATGCATTTTCCTCTCTGCTTTCCCATGGCTGCCTCCCACCCTCCATCACTGCTGGAGGTCCCCAGGTTGGCAGCACTGGGACTGATGGGCAGACGCAGGATCAGAAATGTTCTGCAGTGCTTAAATCTTTGCCGCTGCGTGTTTTAAAAATACATGTGTATGCTTCCTGCAGAGACACAGAGCGCTTTAACAATCAAAGTTGTGCTGCAGGAACAAGGATGCAAGAACTGCAGGGACCAGTAGTTTGTGCAGTAAATCTCCTGCGTGACTCTACAGCAGTAATTACTATGTGAAAGTAATAACTGAGCTGTGCTGAGTGCTAGGCCAACTCCCCCGGCTCGCAGATCCTTGCATGTTTCTCTCTGGGAGGCTCCTGTTTGGTAAATTAGATATTGTGCTGTATTTCAGAAAAGGTCACACTTAACCAAGGCTGCCTTTGCTTTATTATCTCAGTACAGCAGTATAACCTCAGCCGGGGTACGATTGGATTTCACTTTCGGCTCTGCTGCAGCAACTCCACTCCCTGCATCCTGCCGTTGTGATTACGTTAGCAGCAGCCTCTGCTTTCCTTTATTTATTGAGACATTAAAGATGCATGCATTTATTTTTACCATGTTCATAATTGCCATAAAAACAGGCCATAGCATCCCCAGGTGGCTCTTTGGAGGGAAAGCAGCTGCGGGGCTGCCTCAGGCTCCTGCTACCTTTCAGCCATGATCCCACCATGCCAAGCAGCATCCCAACACATGGCTCCCACCATAACTCCCACCACGTCCCACCACTACTTCCACCATGTTCCACCATGTTTGTCACCATGTCCCATCACGTGGCTGTCACTTTGTCCCACCATGTCCCATATTTGTGGCTCTGGGGTCTGCTGGTAGCATCCTGCTGTTCTGGCGTTTTTTTCAACCTATGTTTTGTTCCATCCCAGCTGTGAAAACTGGGAGCCCAGGTTCTGTAATCTCAGGTTAAAAGACAGCATTTCAGCTGTGGTGTTTGTCAGTGGGCTTTGCCTGAAAGTGACAAATCCATTGACTTTTCTCCCACTCTTTCACTCCCTTCCAACTTTTAACCATGCCACCCATTGTCTGCCTTTTATTAATAACACAGCCAATGTCTCTGAGTGAAATGATTTGAAACAAAGGAAAGTGCCTGCATTAAATTCTCTGGCAGGGGATTACCTTGCTGGCATTTACATATCTATGCAATAAATATTTTAACATGTTAATTATACACTAATAAGAAAAATACCTTTTGAACTTTCAGTCAAACTGACACACACAGAACCGAGTCCATCAGGGAATTAAAAGCAATTAGTTTTGTAACAGAGCATAGGCACATTGTTTCTTCTCTACAAATTGTTCCATGGTCACCAGCCAGCCTGCTTCTTGGTGTAGGGCTCGGAGTCATCATCTGCTGCTGGATGGGTCGGGATTTGGGTTGCACTGGGGTATCTCTGGCTGGGGGGGGGGGACATGCGAGGTGCTGGTCCCACTGAGGTGGGCAGAGGTTGTGGTGCCAGGCAATGCCCTGGCCTGCTTCAGAGAGGTACAGAATATCCCCAATTGGAAGGGATCCTAAGGGACATCGAGCCCAACACCAACTCCAGCAGAAAGCAGCCTGTAACTTCTCCCTTTTCTTTTCCTCCTTCCAGACTGAAAATTACTCCTTTGACTCCAACTACGTGAACAGCAGAGCTCATTTAATAAAAAGGTACGTAGGCTGGCTTGAAAGCTCTTTGGTGTGCCCAGCCAAATCCTGATTATTTAATGTTCTTTCTCACTGCGTTATATGCTACTTGCTTTTTTTAATATGCAAAACGTTTCCAGAGTTATCATTTGATTTTAAAAACAGTATTTACTGCCTATTAAGTCCCATTGCTCTTGGTTTGCAACAAAGGAAAATCTTTTTTCTTCTGTTTGGTTCCTACACACTGGGAAGTTACAGCAAGTTAGGTAGAGTGCCGTTACCCTGACAACTTTAAAATTCATGGATTTTATTCTATTTGAATGCACAAGAACAAAATGATAGTTTTGGATGGTGAGTTTTCCTTATAGTGTGAGGTGGGGGGGAAGAAATCTCGTTTGGGGGCAGGTAATTGGGTTTGAGAATGCTCACTGTTTTAGTCTGAATACCGAGGCAAAGCAGCATTTTGCTAGGATTTTCCTTCCAGGGGTAAAAAGCAAATCATCAGTTCAGTTACAACCCAGCAATTTCCCTTGGGTGAATTTAACCCTTTGCATACAACCCTGCCTTGTTGGTGTCCTCAGAGAGCCCACCGGTGGCAAAGGTGTCACCAACAGACTCACGCCTGTGCTGTCCCAGTTTAACCCCACTGATTTTACCCGGGTTGTATCATCTTCAGGACAGCTCTGAGCTTAAAAAAAAATCCAATTATCTTCCTGGCTGTGATCCCATTTGTTTACATCTTAAAAATATAAAGGCTATGGGAGCTGCAAGCACTTTGTATGAGCAACTTGGGTTCAGCTAGCGAGGGGCAGGGATATTTGCCTGCATTATGTGTGATGTTTAACGATGCTAATGCGATTGTGAGAGGCGGCTTGCCTGCGCCGTGCTGCTCTTCGCAAGGCAGTCCACAGACACCCTGAAAAAAAGCAAATCTATTAATCTTTTCCCGCTCACACCTAACATAAAGGCAAGCAGTGCTCCCTCCTGCCACAGCGGGGTTTCCTCCAGCATTGTTTGGGAAATGCTGCTGCTGCCGCTTCCCCCAGACCTGCACATCTTTTGGAGAAGTGTCAGCCACGGAACCGTGTTGTGTGGCTGCTGCATTATGGTCTGCTTCACTGCAGGGAGATGAATGCGTTGTAACGCAGATTGCTGCACGTTGTGAACAGCAGCGCCGTGTAGGACAGCGTTTCCCCTCGCTTTCTACCTTTGTCTTGTATCTTAAGTACAGCGGGTGCCAGGGACGCTGTGCAGACATCTAAGAACAAAAATATTTTCTGTAGCATACTGTGGCATCATTTTCATCCCTTGCCTTTATGAAGATGTTGTAGCTCTTCTATCTCTGGTGAGTGAATCTCCTCCAATCCAGCACTTTAATTAATCTATTTGTACTTTTCCTGTGTTGTCTGCCTGCCTCTCTCACTCACATAAGGCACACACAAATGAATTGTAGATATGTAGTGCTTTCTTAACTTAAAATTCTTTGATGTTGCCTGGAATCAAAGTCAATGGCTTCAACAGGGACATCTTTATTTAAAAGGTGATGTTTGAAGGTTTACCAATTTATATGTATTTCAGAGCTCCCCCCTCGTGTGCTTCGCAAAGCACCAGTTGGTAGGTGGTCTGCTTGGTTTCCGTGGAGACGCAAAAGGGCTTCACTAAGTAATGAAAATCTGCAGCTCCTCAGTGCTTTGAAGCACAGGCCGCTCCTCACACCGACATTTCAGTCCAGATCTGCAAGTTCAGTGCAGCCAGATCTCCCATGGGTACAAGTAGCCCTGGGGGAAGGAGCCATTGGGGCTTTGCTTTGTGCACCAGGCCCTTCTCAGGTGCTTCTCAGGCTGGCAGCCCACCTTTGGTGAACACTTTCTTTTTTCCTCCTGGCATCTGCCTTTGCTTTCTGTTCACTCCAGCCCGTGCCCACGCTCCCAGAAAGTTCCATCCCATGCATCTTGAGGTGATCCTGTCTTGCAGCAGCCAGCTGTCTAAGGACTTGGGGAGTGGCAGGAGGATCATCCGCTGTCTGTGAGCCCAGACTGACAGCCTCTTGCTCCCAGAGGCTCCTGGAGGAAAGCTGGGCGCACAGGAGCTGGCTCACTTGGTTCACATGCACCATGCCTGTGTGTCCATGCCAGGGCTGCGTGCTCATTGTGCTGCTGTTCCACAAGCCAGTGCCTTTGCTTCTGGCTTCCCACAGTGCCAAGGACACCTATGTGCAGCTCACCACTCAAAGCTCTATGCTGGTAGGAAGGGGACACGATGTGGCAGTCAGTGCATCCTGTCCTGGTGACATGCTGGTCGGACACCCCACAGCCACCACTGCTCTGCTGTCCATGATGATGTGCTCCATGCACTCACATCACATCCAACCCAGGATGCAGGTCTTCCTTTGCTTGGATAGCAGCTTCCTGCCCCACTGGGTCAACCGTCAGGATGGGGACATGAGGAATTTGGGACCAGCTCAGCCCCGGTGTCCCTCCTATGTCGACCTTGGCAGCTGTGACCGCAGGGGATGTCAGGGAGCCGAGTTGCTGCCAGATCCCCTGAAGTCCCTGTGAACTTGGACCCAGATCCACAGACTTATTGTTAAAAATAGGAAAGAGAATGAGAAGAAATTCACGCTTCCCGGAAGGCTTTTATTTTAAATCTTTAAGCGATTAGGACTTGGCCTATAACCTAGAAAATTAAACTTGAGATCCTTTTATCTTTAATTTGAAGTAGCACAATACGAGGAAGCCTAATTGTGGAAACGGCTCATTGGATGTGTGTGCATCCTGGCGGCGGCCCGCAACACACGCGAGCAGCCTGCGTTTGGGGTGCGGGCTGATGGTGGCCGGCGCAGCTCACTGCCATGTCTCCCCCAGCAGCTCCACGTTCAAAGACCTGGAGGGAAACAGCCTGAAGGACAGCGGCCATGAGGAGAGCGACCAGACTGACAGCGAGCATGACGTGCAGCGCGGCCTCTACTGCGACACGGCTGTCAACGACGTGCTCAACACCAGCGTGCCCTCCATGGGTTCGCAGGGCCCCGAACCAGGTGAGCACTGCCGTGGCCCCATATGCCTTAGTGTGGGTTAGGGATAAGGCTGTGTGACTTTGGTAGATAGGAATTAATCTTCCTGCTGTGCCTGTCAGGTAAGCCAGCGGGTGGGATTATCCCATATTTCACCCCGAGAAGCCGTGACAGTGCATGAGATGGGATGAGGGTGGGAATTGCCAGCTTCCAGCCTGGGCTCGTGCCTGCAGATGCAGGGCAGCTCCTTCCTGCTCCCCAAAATGGCTCCTCCAAGAGATCAGCGCTGCTAGTCAGCCATCGCAGCACAGACCAGCCCTGGTGGGTGAGGGATTTGCATCTCTTCCCCAAAATGTGCATCGTGGTCTCAGCTGTTTTGTGTCCCCACGTGCGCAGTTGGAAGATGAAGCCCTGATCTCAACCCTGGTGTTAGCTAGAGGAAAAGAGTCAGAGGAGTTCAGCTGAGCCCAGGCTGTCATTTGTACTTGGACATGAATGTCGCTTTTAATGTCTTACTGATGCAAACATCCTATGCAAACATCCTGTCTTTTTCAATTAAGAAGTATGAATGCGGTTTGGTGCTGCAGCACAGGGAAGCCTCAGGGCGCTTGGCTATATCTTGAGATAAGCTGTAGCTGAGGCTCAAATGGAAGCCCCACTGCTAAAAGACTTAAGGATATGAAAACAAAATGCTGTGATTATGAACTGGTCTTCAGCTGTTTAATTCAATTCATGGTAAACATCATTAAAAGCCTTTGTTTTGCTGTCATAAAAGAGTCAAACGGGGGAGAGAGAGTTCTTGCCATCTGCGCCATGGAATGTTTTATTTTTTTTTTCCGGAGTGAAGCTGATGGCTGTATTAATTCTTGATAGAGTCTGTTAAATGGCCATAGTTAACCCTGTAAGACTCTGCGAGCAGGGGAACGCAGAGGTCACCTACCCATTCCACACTGCCAGCCACGCTAATTGGAGGGGGATGGCATCCGCAGTGATAATGTATTTCCAGACATCCCTACTGTGGCCAAAGATGAAAAAAATTAAACATTTATATAACTGTACAGTGGCAGTTTAATTCTCTGAGGACCAGTGCTGTGTCAGTGAATGCAGGCTGATAGCTATCATTTATTATTCTTCTATTACAAAGAAATGCTTTTTCATTTCGATCAGGAGAGGGTTTCCTAAGACGCGTTTGCAGTAAGGGATGACTGTAGAAGCAAAAAATGTTCATAATTGATTCTTGTCCTGCCCAATAGTCTGAGCAACATCTGTTAATTTTTTGTCACATTTCTTTAGCAAAAAAAAACAATCTCAATGGACTGCAGATAGGGTTTTACAGAGATTACATTTCTGATAAGTCTGCGGGCTGTCTCTGTTGCACACCAGGTAACAATGCAGAGAATTTAAAAAGGAGTTGGAGGCAGAGCTCATTTGAGGAGTTACAAAGGAAGTAAATTTGGTCCAATCTATTGCAACGATAAATCCCTATTGCATGTCAAACACCCACAAAAGAACAAGAAGGGTTTCCAGAAGGAGACTTACAAAAGCAGACCAGGCGTCCATCCCGCTCCCCAGTCTCGTGGCTGCATGGCTGCAGGGACAGCCCCAAAGCACCAGCTCTGCATTGCCATCTGGCTGGACTTGCAGGCAGGGAGGTGAGCAGTCACTCGCACAGCAGCTGAGGAAAAGGTTAAAGAGAATATTTTCTAAGCTGATTTGTCAAGCAGGGGCTGTATAAAATAATCAGGAAAATCAAGGCACTCAGACAGCGGTGATAACAGCGGTTCCACATAATGAAAGCGATGGTTTCGGCATGATAATTTTTACCCAATTTCAGGTCAGCAATGCAGGGCAGGAAGGAGGCGCTCAGTATCCAAGGCAGGATCACCCAGGATGTGGACTGCCCGCCTCCCTGAGCATACTGTGGGATGCCTGTCCTATAGCCCAAAAGAGACATGTCAGGGTTTGCCTGGTCCTAACCATCCCCTGCCTGGCAGCCCACTGAGATGCCCTGGGCTTGGACCTCTGTAACACCACCAGTCAGTCTTTGGGGGGGAACTTTCAGGCTTCATTCAGATAATCTGGGAATCTTTTTACCTGCTCTGTGGGTAATGATGGTTCTGCTGAGGTCGGATGCTGGCTGGCAGAAATCCTTGCAGCTCAGTGACATCTTGATCTGAAGCCTGTTAATGAGGACGGTCTCTCCATGCTGGCGTTGGAGGTCTGGGTGGTTTTCATTTACTGAGGTGTGGGATTTCCTGCAGAAAGCAGTAGGAATGAGAGAAAACTCCTTTAAGTGTTCTTAAAAGCAGTCTCTAGAACTGTGGGTTTGGAACCTGGCCTTACAAGACTTTTGGAGTTGAGTAGGGAAAGAATGAAGGTTGGTTTCGTACATTATTATTGATATGCCAGTGATGTTCAGACACAACTGGTTTCCCACTGCCACTGGGCTGGAGGGGGCTTCACTGCTTCCATGCCAGTCTCTCTGGCTGGAACCCTTTCTCTTCCTTTTGGAAATGACCTAGATTTCCAGAAAAATGGCAGTCTGTCGTGTAAAGGGTGCTGAGCTGAAGTGGGCAGCAGCAGGTCATCAGAAATAGCGCCTGGAGCTCAGCCATGTTGCCTGGTTTGGAAGCAGGACTTCTGCCCAGTCCCTCTTTACCTCAGGATCTTAATTATTGATTATAAATTCATCAGTTGAAAAGATTGCTTTGATTGCTCTAATATGTACCCAATTTGGAGTTCATTATTGCGCGGGATTGTTTTCCTTCCCCTGCTAATTGATACCAAATGGGACATTTAGGAATGCGGGCACTGGGCGCTGCTCCACCTTCCACAATTGCTTGGCTGCTGGTTAATTGTTTGTTTGTTTGTGGAGGTGTTTGTACGCCACTTTTTTGTAACATTACCCTCAGCTGAACTTTGCAGTGGGTTTGTATGAAAAGATTTGGAAGCGTCTGCTGGATGTCAGCGAGGTTTCATGTTGGCTGGAGAAGGCTGCTGGAGAGTGTGGAGTAATTCTGGGGTGCCCTTTGTGTCTTGGCCAATTTCACTGCAGTACGTACTGGATTTCCTCCAAGCCCAATCCAGGAAGACTCAGCGTGTCCCGGTGCAGGAATTGCTGCATGGTGATAACGGTGCCTCCGTGGGCAAAGGTGGGGGACGTGGGAGCTTCAGCAGTGGGTTTGAAGCTCCTGCTGCCTGTTCCTGCCAGCAACGTGGGGAAATCTCAGTGTGCAGCGTTCTCCAGCACCGCAGAGCGTGGTGGTGCTTTTCCCGTAAGTGGCAGCACGGACCAGATGTTTCACAGGGTAATTGAAAATTCCATTTTATCAGAAAGCATTTGCTGTCAAAAAGTTTTATCTTTACTTCAACAAAGAGGTTGATTAGATCCCTCAGGACCTGAATTAGCATCTTTCAGGCTAGATAGTCTGTTTTGTGATTCAGGTAGTTATTCCTCCCTTGGTTTTGCTCATACTGGGACTTTTTTTTTAACGCCTTTGCCCTCTTCCAAACATTTCGTTTGTGCAAGTTTGGCTTGTTTTCTTTGTGTGGAAGTGTACAGTCACATAGATCTGCTTAAATCTTTTCTACTGCCTTTTTCACCTTGCCTTGAGCCAGAACCATGCTTGTGCTCTGTAAGTTGCAGAAGCTCTTGCCAGCGTACAAATCAGAAAGGAACTGTTTCAAATGTGTGTTTATAATGTTACAAGCAACAGATTTCAAACTTATCTTAATTCCCATTCTTGGCCAGTATTTTTATCATTAATTGTGACAATCATTGACCCAGTGAAGCAGCGATTCACTGCTTCAGACAAAAATAGAACCCAAAGGAAAATGCAGAAATGATAAACACACACTAATCATAAAAAGGCAGTGTTAGAAGTAGTCACCACAGCCATAAGAAAAGAGAAAAGTTTTAAAATCAAAGTTTGGGGGTTTTTATGCAATGCTTTATGTCGCTAATGTGTCTCTTCAGAGAATTGCTTCTAAAAGCATCGCTTTCGTTCTTCTGGTGCCAGATCAGCAGTAAAGGTTGGCATGAAATGTCATCAGTGAAGACCTGATCCTGCATACATTTACACATTTGAGTAACTTTGCTCACAAAGGTAGTTTAATTGTGTCTGGGTCTGATAAACTCCAGCAAGATGAAGGGTTTTTTGAGTAGAAATGGGTTATATTTAAATGCTTATGTTAAGTCTTCTTTATGCTATCGCACAGTATAGAAGTAGGCTTGAATGTAAAGGAGAGCTGGGCACTTGATATTCACTGAAACTTTTCATGCTGGTTTCATCCCTAATTATTCAGATACATTGTCATTTAGTGGATCAGGTTTTATCTAGAATATTCCAATTGGTTCTCATGCTCATCTCCATAGTATCTGGTGCATTTCAGCTGTGAACTGAGAACATGGCTAATGGTATTAACTGTAGGCAAGCACAGTTATTAGAAACTGCTGATTTTGAAATTAATTTCCAGCAATCATTCCACTGTCAACTCCCTTTTATTCTGCAGAAGGCAATAGAACTATATAAAGATGAAGACCCAGGTGACCTATTTTAGGGCCTTGGCAGTTCAGAGTAGGGCTGCTTTCCTCTGGAAGTTCATAAAAATTAATAACATACCTATTTCCTTATATTCATATATGCAGCACAAGACGTGCAGTATCCCATTCCTGTGTGAGTGACAGCACATCCCTTAAGATGGATAAACGCTGTAAGCTTTCTTTACAGGACAACGCCTGTTATTACAGCATTTCTGATTTCTGTATTATTGCATAGATCTTTAGTGTAACAGACTAAGTAAGCTCAGTGGTGCTCCTACAATGGCCAGCATGGAAGGAGCAGTCAGCTTTTCAAAATACTTTGAAACCCCTGAGAAGGATTTTTATGGAAAGTGGTAAGCTGGGCTTTAGGATAACAAAAAGAGATGATTGTCTTATGAGCCCTATGCTTTTCAATGATTGCCTGTTGAGCATCTCAGTCTGCTTTGGCAAAAGCCTTTCAAAGGCAGAGGAGCTGGGGCAA